TTTTTTTTTTTTTTAAACTTATGCAGCACCCCCAGCAGATTGACAACATCTCTACCTCCAGAGCTTGCAAGTATTATTCCTTTAATTGATAGGTTCCAGGTATGTAGGAAGTTTGACCTCTTCACTTTTGGGTTCTTTTCTGAACCAATTACAGAATATTAAGGAAGCTTTGAATTGGACCATGAATTTTTTTATTCACTTTTGCATTTTTATTATATAGTGTAGTTTGATTCTTTGTTTCCAGGAGTACTTGCATGTGATTCACGGTTATCATATATATGAAATTTTAACAATTAGAGTTTTTTTTTTCACAGATATTTGTTGAAACAATGATAAATTCTCTACCAAAGGTTTATGATTAATAATGAACTGTAGACCACCATTTTTAACTCTACTGAGTACTCCGGTTTTACTTATCACAGCAATGATTGATGAATCTAATTTTGTTTTACACCCAAGCAGACCCAAGCAATTGCTTGTTTTAAAACTATTATATATTGGATATTGTGAGAGCATGCTATCTAAGATTCAGTAATATTTGTTTATTCTCTCATACATTGGATCAACAAAGGTGATGAGAGCTTAGATAAAATTAGCTCAACTCGATAGTGTTTAGTAGTTCTAGGTTCATCACGGAAAAGAAGTCTAAGTGTCGGAGGAAAATATTAAGTATTTTCATGAAGTATGTGAATAATTTTAAAAGTTTTAAATCCCAAATACTTAATTTAGTCTCCGGCATCATATTTCTCCAATTTAGTCCTTCGACTATATAACATTGATGCAAAATGGTCCATCAAGGACTAAAATTGTATCAATTTTGTGTAGTCCAAGGAAAAAATTGGGATTGGAGTTGTATTTAATCTTGACAAAAGGGCCATTTTGGATCATTTTTGTATATTTAAGAGTGTAAATTAGAAAAATGTGATAAATAGAGTCTAGAATTTTTACATGCGCATAGTTTGGGGACTATTTTGAGATATAATATATTTTTAAATTGTTTGTAGGCTTGCATATTGGTTGGAGTACTCAAATCTTGTTTTTTTATCTGTCTTACCATCACCTTGACTGCAGCAATATAGTTCAATTTTCTACATGAAGTGTAAAAATTTTCTCGCGTGTCTTTCTATGAGTTTTATTTCTTCGCATTAACTTGTCTGCATATGTAGATTCCAAATGGGCTTTTTTTTTAACGAAATTTAGTTTGTCATTTTCTCCCTGGAGTGTTTTATGGACATGTAATGCTGTTACGTGTGTTCTTTTATCAAAACAATGGTATAAGCTACTATACAGTTACAAAACCAGCTTTTATGGAATTTTGAGGAATATGTTATTATATTGCTAACTTTATTTACGTGGGGATTTAACAGGAGTCAGTTACTTTGTGTTGATTTTGTTTATTTTTCATTGTTCTAGTTCCTTAGTTCATGTCTATCATTATTAGAAGCTTCCCCTAAATTTGTGCATCTTCATGCATAACCATTTGTTCATCATAAGTTTATAAATTGATATTTCAATGATGTTAGATTTCTTTCTGTGCTTTCGTTTTTGTTAATCCTCTTGCCCTTTCAGGTTGGAACTTTTTTGCGAGCTATGCAGAAACAAATCAATTCTGCTGGAAAACGTGGATTTTTCTCAAAAAAGTCTGTTGTTTCTACAGTTAGTGAAACTTTTACATTGGAGAACATGTTATCCTTTCAAAAGGTTGTACTATATCTCATTCGATAAATTTGATTCTTCATTATTAACTATTTTTATTTGTGCTTGCTTACTGCTTGCATCAACATGGTTCAAGCCTAGGCTCACATGAATCAATATATTGTGTATTTCACACCTTTTTTTGTTGGCCTGTGCTAATCATATCCGAGGGCTTTATAAAGGAACTATATTTATCTTGAAACATGAGATGTCATACTGGACTAATGCTTTTCTAAAGGAACTATATTTATCATGAAACATCACATGTCATACTGGACTAATGCTTTTGGTTTTAATGCATTGCTTGCATCTCATCTGTTAATCTATAAGAAGTTGACGGATTATTTTTCATGTTTGTGTCGGTGTTGGTTCTTAATATTTTATCCCTGCTGCATGTGCAGGATCCCATCCCAACTTCCTTGCTTAAGATCAATGGAGATCTTGCAAGCCGTTCAGTTAAGATCTTCCAGATGATTCTGAAATATATGGGGATTGATTCATCCGACAAAGCAATCCAATTAAGCATGGATGAGCGAATTGATCTTGTTGCAAAGATTTATAAACAAACTTTAAAGCGTCCTGACCTCCGCGATGAAATATTTGCTCAGATTTTGAAGCAAACTCACAATAACCCTGATAAGTAAGTATTTCTGGAAATACTTGGAGATGGTAATGAAGTCATATTTTAAGTAATCATCTAATTTTTCATAAACATTTATCATTTTGTAGGAATTTTTTGAAAAAATCATGGGAGCTCATGTATCTATGTGCCTCTTCGATGCCTCCGAGCAAGGATATTGGAGCACATTTATCGGAGTATGTGCATAGTGTTGCTCATGGGGCCAAGACAGACCCAGAAGTTCAAATCCTTGCGTCGAAGACGTTGAATGCTTTGAAAGGCTCAATGAAAGCTGGGCCAAGATTGACAATTCCTGCACGTGAGGAGATTGAAGCTATTTTGACTGATAAAAATCTCACAACGATAATATTTTTCTTGGATGAGACTTTTGAAGAAATCACATATAATATGACCACCACGGTTGCTGATGCTGTCCAGGTATTTGCGACAGCTTCTGTCTCCAAAATCTTTGGTTTTACTCATTTTTTTACTTGCAAAATCATTTTAACATGGTTTTCTTATAAAGTGCCGTGGATGTCATTGGATACTTTTTTTATCAGGAGAGGCCAAATATTTTCTTCATGAGGGTTTTGGTGTTATTTGGAAAATTATTCCACTAATTTCTTTGAGAAGAGAACCTTTCATTCCATCCAGCTAAATGCCAATGTATTTGTAATAACCCATTTTAAATTATAATGAATTAAAAAAAATAAAAATAAATATGTGTCATTAGAAGGAGACACGACATTCGCGGAAAATCAAAATGCCGGATTTAGTCCCTTGTTTTCTCTCATTCAAACCGATTGAGAGAATTAGAGAGAGTGAGAGCGAGAGAAAGACAGAGGGGGAAGGAGTCGTGCCCTAGCCGAGCAAAGAAGAAGGAAAAAAGAGGAGGCTTACCATGTTTAGGGCGAGAAGTTGACAACATTGTTTGCATTCTGTCTGATGTTTTGAGCATTGTCAAAGAGGAAAAGGGCAGAGAAATTGAAGGTAGGAAAACACCTTTCATGCAAGAATAATAGTGCTCTAGCCGAACAATGGAGAACACGTTTCGTGCAGGAGTAAATGCGCCCTAGTTGAACGAATGAGAGAAGAGAAAGTCACGTGCATCTTCTACGAAGGAAGACAACATAGTTGGGAATCCTCCAAAGAATTCTCAGTGTCACCGCGGAATAGGATCACTGGATTTGAGAAAACCGAAAAAAAAAAGTAAGCAGTATTAAAACAACCAGAAAAACACACAAGAAGAAAAAAATAAATAGAAAGCAGTATTAAAACAACCAGAAAAACACACAAGAAATTTATGTGGAAAACTCTAGAAGGGGAAATCACAAAGCCACACCACCACAAAATTTACTATTAAATTCAAAAAGCTTTACAAAGTACTCACAAGTTTTTTCTTCACACTCACACGAAGGAACTTACAGGGCGCTCCACAATCACAAAAAGGAACTTACAACTCACGCCGGGATTCCATAAATCCTCATCTTCGACTCATCTTCTACGCCAGAAAGTTGTCGAAGAATGTCAAAGGAAGACTCAACAAGCATGCAATGTTCCATGCTCGAAAATTGGCTTAAAATCAAAAATCCCCAATTAACCGCTCCCGGAAGCCTAGGCTTAAAATAAAAAATCGCCAAGCTCTCTGTATCTGCGCCCATAATTGGGCACTAGGCGCCAATAGGCCGGCGCCTGAATGCCTCGTGAAAAAAGACCAGTCTTCACTCTAAATCGAGCGCATAAGCGACCGAAGCTGGTACCAATGCGTCGACCTCATGCCTATGGCTGGTGCCAATGTGCCGGCTTACCTGTTGTTTGCTGCTCAAATTGCTTCGGCTCCACATTATAGCCCAACATACATTGCGAGCCTCGTTGTTTCATGTGCGAGCAATGTTGTGAAAGGAGGAGGGAGATCGAGCTTGGTGTGCGAGACGGTGATGTTGTAAGAAGCTGAATGAGGGAAATTGTAAATGCGAAGAATAATTCACGGTGTATCGTGCAAGTTTTAGACTACAAAGTCAAAGTTGAAGGAGAGGTTGGCTTGTGTGTGAAGAAGTGGAGATGATGACGCTGCTTGCTAGTAGTGAATTCGACTGCGAGGGGCAAAGTCAGGGAGAAGAATTCGAGTGTAAACTGTGTCATCGTGAGCAAGGAGGAGGTTTGCATGTGTGATTTGTGCTGGAGGCAATCAAACCGAACCGTGCCATAGCCTAAGGTATGGTTAGAGTTTTAATTTTTTGTATTTTAATTACATTAATTAATTATTTAAAAATATATTTTATGCTAATATTAAATTTTATTTTATCAGAAAATTTTAGATTGAGGAGCATTCAAATTGAAGGGAGAAGAAGAAGTTGCCACGTCATTAAAAGTTCGAATAAGATATTTTCTATGGTGGGGCCATGAATAGCACATAACAAAGCAACACCTAAAACTCCAGCAACTCCCATCGTATGAAATGAGTTCAATGTCCAATTATGAAACCCTTGGAAGAAAATGATAAATTGAACTATAACTGCTACACCAAAACCAAGTGCAAAAAACAAACCAGATTAACTAAGTGGATAAATCAGGAATACATTAACAAAAATATTAATTGGAGTTATAGTCAAATAAATAATGATTTAAATATTAATATAAGTTTTATTGCCTACTAACGTCAGAATTTGAGGCAAACAAAAATATTTGGATTCGAAAACAAGAATAATCAGTCAAATTATTAGGTTAGTGTTTTGTATTTAAGTTTTAAGTGGTTGCTTTAAATTGAGATTAATAAATATGAATATTAGGTTTTATTGAATGATATTAGATTTTGACAAGGTCAAGTTATTGCGTTAGAAGATTAAAAGAGTAAAAAAGTCAAAGATTTAGATGAGCAATTATGTTTTTAAATTACATTAATATTTGTTGTTTTTAAATATATTCCCGTTTATAGTTTTTTTTTTCACTGTTATGCCTTACATCAATGAAATTGAATTATATTTGAATATTTGTATCATTAGTTATGAAATTTGCATGTTAAAATTTATTGCCTAAATAGTTGCATAATAGTTTGTTTTAGAAAAATGTCAAATTATTGCGCGACCTTTAGAATTCTATTAAAGGTGCATTAATTAGATTCTCACATAACCTTAGATTTTAGTAATTGCATTATTTTTAGTAGATAAATACAAGTTTTTCATATGAAGATAACATATTCCTTGAAGAATGAAATAAAATATTATATACATGAATGCTTGTATGTGCATAAAAGAGGAGTTCATCCTCTTATAGCAAGGCAAGGGACGTCAATGTATCATCGTGCGTAGATGTTTTCCTATCATCTCTAATAATTGTGAAAATTAAATCATTAATCGTTGTACCAATGAGAGAGTATTGGTTAGGGATGACTAGGCACCCTCTCACCTTAAATAGTTGTGAAATTTATATCAGTAATCGTTGTGCCGACGGGAGAGTTTCGTCCAAGGGGGAGTAGACATTTTTTCATCTTAGACAATTGTGTAATTTAGATCACAAATTTCTATGCAAACGGGATAATATCGGCCATAAGTGTATTGGGTATATTTGATGGTGCTCCTAAGAAGGATATAAAAGTTAAAAGTATGAAGCATTTTAAGAATTAAAATATTGCCTCTTGAAAAGTAAAATTAAAGTTGATGCATATTGAAATTTCAGTTATTTCCATTGAGTAAATGTCATTAGCACATACATGAGATTTATTTATTTATTTTTATAGTGATATATTAAAGATTGGCATGCATATTATTATTTTTTAATTAGTTTAGTTTAGAAGTATAATTATTCCACTGATTTATCTTAGATAATTAATTTTTTTGATTTAATATTTTGTATTTGGTTTAAGTTTTTGAATAAGATGAATAATAAATGAGTTAATATTTACAAAAGATGAGGACAACAACTAGAAAAATAAATTTTTATTTGTTTATTAAATTTTTGAAGTGACTCTTTCAATTTATTTATATTATAATTTGTTAGTAATATAAAATGAATATTAAAAAAATAATTTCACCACGATCGTCTGTTTTCTCCTTAGTTAATTCTAAGCCCTGAGTCGAGTCATGCACTATTCTAATCTGACCTCCATTATTATTTTACTATTGAAAAGAGTTTACTGTTTGGTTTGGTTGCAAGTATGTGAGAGGAAGAGCATTTTCCACTTCTACAGGTGCTTGATGAAGCGCTTCTTTAAAGGTTGTTCCATTGTTTAGTAGGAAATTGAAACTCTTGGCTTCTAATGTTTGCTTTTATAAGAAATATAACTATCTTATAATTCTAATACTATTATCATTATAGGAAATAAAAATGTCTTATAAATGTTAGGGCGCCCTTTAGAAGTGACACACCGTATTACAATGAAAAGCGTGCAACCGTCGTCCGAGTGTATTGTTAAATAAACAAGAGTTTTCAAAGAATAAATGAATGCGAACAAATAAGTTAGTTTATAAAATTAATATTAGGATAAAAATTTAGAATATATATACTCTCATAGGTGAATCAATGAAATTAGTAGATATTATGGTTCATAAGAAGATAAATATCTTATGCATTCAATAAACTAAATTGGTTAGAGAAAATGTTAAGAAGAGTTATAGCTTATGTTTTAAATTTTGGTATTTAGATATAAGTCGTACTAGAAATGATTGGGTAATTATAGATAAGAGTTCGAAAGATAATGTTGTCAAAATTAATAGAATTGAAGATAGAATTATAACTTTAAAGATTGTTATTGATATTAAGTTTCTTAATATTATATGTGCTTTTATTTTCCAAGGAGGTTTGATTATATGTACAAAAAATTTTTGGATAGACCTAAAAGAATTAATACAAAAAATATCTCTTGAAGAAATAATTTTTATTGAATGATATTTATATGAACATGTTGGTAAAGTAATAGAATATTTTAGAAACATTCATGGTGACTATGATTTTATAGCGACTAATAAAAAATATAGAGTCATATTAGATTTTATTTTAGCTTATGAAATTGTTATTGCCAATACTTTATTTAAGAAAAGAGATGGACATATGGTTTAGCTTATGAAATTGTTATTGTTAATACTTTATTTAAGAAAAGAGATGGACATATGGTTATTTATAACAATAGATCTAAAGCATAAATTGATTATTTTCTTTTGAAAAAAAGTAAATCGTGTAAATTGTGTAGATTGTAAGGCCATTCCAAGTGAAAATTTAAGTTTTTAACATCGATTATTAGTTTTGAATTTAAGAGGAATGTTGTAAAATAAAAAGACAACAAAATATTATTATAGAAGAGGAACGTTGTAAAATAAAAAGACAACAAAATATTATTATAGGGTTAGACGAGGGCATTTAAAAGAGACAAATAAAACTATTTTGATGAGTAATTCAATATTTTGAGATTCGAGATATCCATGAAGAAGTCACTACTATGTGAG